GAGGCAGATTTCTCCTAGAAAATAGTTCTGGCAGAGGCCATTATTCCTTGCTGAGCCCTCCCCAACACAGAGCTGATAGGCGGGCACCATACCTGAGACTCCATTAACCTGGTCCCCTGCCCTGGTGATTCCCTGAGACCCATCCCACCCAGCTTGCAGGCCCACCTGAGCTGTTACCAGTGGCTCTGCCAAAGGATTGGCCTGTCTTGGCTCCTGCTTCAGGTTTTCCTAAATTCTTTCAAACAACAGCATCTGTCCTCTGTGTGCCCTGTACCTCTCTAAGTAGCCCCAGGCCTGGCACTAGTGGCTGCTTACCATGGTTCACAGCTTGGCCTCTCCTGGGCACATCCAAGCCCAAAACAATAGCAGCCGTCTGAAGATTGCTTTGTAGCTCCTGCTGGGTGGCCCCAGGCAGGGCACAGGCAGTGGTTACTGCATCTCCCGGGAGGCCCCAGAGCCAGTCACCCAGTGGTCAGCCTCAGACCACAAAAGATTACAACCCTACTACCTCCACCAGCAACACACACAAGGGACAGACTCGGTTGGCACCAAAGCCCCACTGAAGCAAGTCCTGCTCCACAGGGTCGGCTCCCATTCAGCAGCTCTTCAGCTGGTCCTCACAGCCGATTGGCCTGGAGGTCAGTCCCTCCCAGTGACACCAACAGCAATCAGGGCTCAACTACAACAGGGCAGTGCACACAGCCCCCACCGGGGTGCACCTGGAGTGACTGGGGAGGCTGAGCCACTGGGCCCTAGAGAAGACGTACTACACGAGGCCACTCTACCAGGTCTGGGAGACACGCAGCTCTGTCAAATACATAGAACAAATGCAGGGAAACAGCCGAAATGCAGACACAAAGAAACGTGTCACACATGAAAGAACAGGAGACGTCTCCAGATAAAGAACTAAATGAAATGGAAGCAAGCAAACTACCAGATACAGAACTCAAAACAATGTTCATAAGGATGCTCAAGGATCTTACTGAGAACTCCAAGGAACTTAGTGAGACCGTCAACAACATAAAAAAGGACCAGTCAGGCCCTGGCCTGTTTTATTCAGTGGTTAGAGTGTCAGCCCTTGTACCAAAGAGTTGCAGGTTCGATTCCAGTCAAGGGCACATACCCCAGTCCTGGTCAGGGTCATGCTGGAGGCAACCAGTTGATGTGTCGCTCTCACATTGATGTTTTTCTCGCTCTTTCTCTCCCTCTCTCTCATTCTATCTGAAGATAAATGGAAAAGTATCCTCAGATGAAGATTAAAAAAAAATTATTAAATTGCATTTATATTTCCACGCTGACCAACAATGAATGCTATTACTACTATAAAAAATAAATAAATAAATAAATAAACATGTTTGTGTCAATTTAATAGTTTGTTCTGTGTTTTTTTTAAATTAAGGTATAATTGATATACCTCATTATATTAGTGTCAGGCATTAGTGATTTAAATGTGTGTATATTGTGAAATGATCACCAAAGTAAGTTTGGTTAGAATCTATTGCCACACATAGTTGACATTTTTTACTTGTGAGAACTTTTAAGATTAATGTTAACTTTCAGATATACAATGCGGTATCATTACTCCAGCCACATCCCCACGACTGACGCATGTGATAACTGGGTGTCTGTGCCTTTTGACCTCCTTCACTCACCCCCCCACCCCGCCTCTAGCAGTCAACAGCCTGGTCTCTGTATCTATGAGTTTAGTTCTTTTTGTTTTTTAAGATGTTTTTGTGCCCTGGCCGGTTTGGCTCAGCGCTTGGAGCGTCGGCCTGCGGTACAGAGAGACCCGGGTTCGGTTCCCACTAAGGTCACATACCTCGGTTGCAGTTTGTCCCTGGCCCTGGTTGGTCGTGCGGGTGGCAGCCACTTGATGTGTCCCTTTCACGTTGATGTTTCTCTCTCTCTCTCTCTCCCTCTCTCTCCCTCCTGCTGTATCTGAACAAAAAATGGAAAAATGTCCTCGGGTGAGGATAAAAAAAAAAGATGTTTTGCCCTGGCCGGTTTGGCTCAGTGGTTAGAGCGTCGGCCTGCGGTCCTGAGAGACCCGGGTTCGGTTCCGCTAAGGGCGCATACCTCGGTTGCAGTTTGTCCCCGGCCCTGGTCAGTTGTGTGGGTGGCAGCCACTCGATGTGTTCCTTTCACTTCGATGTTTCTCTCTCTCTCTCTGTTCCTCTCTTTCCCTCCCACTCTACCTGAACAAAAAATGGAAATATGTCCTTGGGTGAGGATTAAAAAAAAAAAAAAGATGTTTTTGTTTTTAAAATTATACGGTATTTGTCTTTCTCTGTGTGATTTATTTCTCTTAGCATAATGCCCACAAGGTCCATCCATGTTATCCATGTTGTTGCAAGTGGCAAGATTTCATTATTTTTTTAATTAAAAAAGTTTTTTATTTTTAATCCTCATCCAAGGATATTTTTACATTTATCTTCAGACAGTGGAAGGGGGAGAGAGAGAGAAACATCGATGTGAGAGAGACACATTGACTGGTTGCCACCCACATGACCCCAACCGGGCCGGGGACAAACCACAACCAAGGTACATGCCTTTAGCCGGAATCAGACCCAGGACTCTTTGGTCCACAGGCCGACACTGCTGAGCCAAACCGGCCAGGGCGATTTTAAAAAAGATTTTTTTGTTAATCTTCACCCAAGAATATGTTTCCATTGAATTTTAGGTAGAGTGGAAGGGAGGAAGGGGAAGAGAGAGAGAAAAGCATCAGTGTGAGAGAGGCAAATACATTAATTGGTTGCCTCTCTCACGATCTTGACTGGGGATTGAACCTGTAACCTAGGTACGTACTGTTGACCGGGAATCAAACCTGACACCCTTCAGTCCTTGGGCCAGCACTCTAACCTCTGAGCCAGACAGGCCAGGGCAACATTTAATTATTTTTTATGGCCAAATAATATTCCACGTGTGTCTGTGTGACATCTTCTTTTATCCATCCATCTTAGGACACTTACGTGGCTTCTATATCTTGGCTGTTGTAAATAATGCTGCAGTGAACATGGGAATGCAGATATATTTTCGAATTAGTATTTTTATTTTCTTCAAATAAATACCCAGATGTGCAATTGCTGGGTCATAAGGTAATTCTTTTTTAGAGGACCCTCCACACTGTTTCCATAGTGTCTGCACCAGTCTGCATTCCCACCAACAGTGCATGAGGGTTCCCTTTTCTCTATATCCTTGCCAACGTTTGTTTCTTGTCTTTTTAATAATGGGCATTCTAAGAGGTGTGAAGTGGTAGCTCATTGTGGTTTTGATTTGTATTTCCCTAATGGTTAGTGATGTTGAACATCTCATGTACCTGTTGGCCATTTGTATGTCTTCTTTGGAAAAATGTCTATTCAGGGCCTCTGCCCATTTTGTAGTTGTTGTTAATCTTCACCCAAGGATATTTTTCCATTGATTTTCTGAGAGAGTGGAAGGGTGGGGGAGAGAGAAGCATCGATGTGCGAGATACTTCAATTGGTTGCCTCCTGCACAACCCCAACCAAGGCAGGAATCGAACCTGAATCCCAGGTATGTGCCCTTCACTGGGAAACCTAAAACCCTTTGGTCTGAGAGACCACATTCTAACCTCTTGGCCAAACCAGCCAGGGCTATTTTTATTGATTTTTAGAGAGAGAAAGAGAAACATTGACACAAGGTGATCGGACACACCCCTAGTAGGGGAATGGAGACCAAAACCCCTGCATGTGCCCTGCCTCGAATCAAACCACAGTCTTTGGTGCACGGGAGGGAGCCCGACCCACTGAGCCGCACCTGCGGGCTTCTTCAGGCTTCAGTAGCAGGAAACTCATGCTGTGAGGAAGCCTCTTTCTAGTGTCTGAGATTGGCCCTGTTTTCCTGTTAAAATGAGATGCCAAGTTTAGAACATTAAGACCAGAATATACCTTTTCTCTCTCCCCTGAGTGACTGACATTTGTGCATGTACAAGTCCCTAGAGCAGCGGTTCTCAACCTGTGGGTTGCGACCCCTTTGGAGGTTGAACCACCCTTTCACAGGGGTCACCTAAGACCATCAGAAAACATATTTCTGATGACGATTCATAACAGTAGCAAAATTACAGTTATAAAGTAGCAACAAAAATAATTTTATGGTTGGGGGTCCCACAACATGAGGAATGTATTGAAGGGTCGCAGCGTTAGGGAGGCTGGCCTAGAGTGACACAGGAGCCTGCCCCTGGGGGAGGACGGCCCTGAGGCCGCAGGAGGGGCAGCAGCTGGTGTTCCGCTTGGTTTGCTGTAGGAGAGTTTTGTGCAGAGCAGAGCTTCCTGGCTGCTGCTGAGGGACAACGGGCTACAGGTTTGGGAGGAGTTGGTTCCTGCTGCCCTAGGAAGCTGGGTTCTGGCTTCCATTTCAGGCAGCCTTGTCCCTTGACCCTGTCGTGTAGTACACATATCAGCGTTTTCTGTTCGTGTGTAAGCTGGTGGGTGGTGTCGCAGATGTTAATTTACCACTTGTTATGTCACACTGAGCAGTATCTTTCCTGCAAGATTATTTGTTTTGTGGTCATGTGCCATTTGATGGATCCTACCATCCTCATAGGTGACAAATGGTCATTTTCATCTGCTCTGTAGCATCCGTCTGTACTCCTTACCGAGTGTGTGTAGGCAGATGTATCACGCTGCTGTAGAAGGACCTGAGAATGTAGAAAAACACTTGCCTAGGTCCCCACTCCAGAGATAGGATATTTGGTGAGGAGTGGGCCTCAGGCACGAGCCCTTCTTAAGGTCTTGGGTAGTGACACATGCAGTCAGAGTAGACCTCGTTGTGCGCTGGATGGACTGAGTCCTGCAGCTGGGCTCCAAGTTGTGCATCTCGTTTGCATACAGCCTGTCTGGCTCTTACACGGTTTGTCATCGTTATCCCGTTTATGAATGTAAAGAGAAGGGAAAACCCAATAAAGAAATTCAGTTTTGCCCTGGCCGGTTTGGCTCAGCGGTTGGAGCGTCGACCTGCGGTACAGAAAGAAGTTCAGTTTTTTTATACTTACCTGGCAGGGGAGATGCCGTGATCGTGAAGGTGGTTTCCCAGGGCGAGGCTTATTCCTTGCCCTCCGGATATGCTGACCCCTGCGGTTCCCCAGGTGTGGGAGACTGGACTGCACAATTTGTGGTAGTGGGGGACTGCGTTCGCGCTCTCCCCAAAAAATAAAAAAAAAGAAATTCAATTTTTAATGTCATTTAACAATATGTTTTAGAACTATTTTTAACAGGGTAATTATGAATTTCAAACTTAAAGCCACATCCATTATTAAAGTCACTACCCAGCTTCTTTTTATATGGATATTCAAATTTAGTTACCAGCCCTGGCTGGTTTGGCTCAGCAGTTAGAGCATCGGCCTGTGACCAGAGAGTCCCGGGTTCAGTTCCTCCTGAGGGCGTGTACCTTGGTTGCAGTTTGTCCCTGGCCTGATAGGGGTCGTGTGGGTGGCAACCACTCGGTGTGTCTCTCTCACATCGATGTTTCTCTCTCTCTCTCTTCCTCCTTCTCTCCTTCCCGCTCTATCTGAAGATAAGTGCAAAAGTGCCCTCGGGTGAGGATAAAAAATAAATTTAATTACCAGATGTTCGTAGTTTTCGAGTTTAAAGCAAAATGCGATTACCATGCAATTTTTATGTTAAGTTGTACACATCTTGGATTTATTTTATTATTTGGAAGGGAGATGTTCTTCATAATTATATTTTCCCAATTTGTAATTTTATATAAATGACTTATTTTTCAGTGCAGTGATTTGAATGTTTATGTGTTCTTGATATCTTTCTTGTAGTTATGGGATACTACTGGGAATCTCTGCTTTGTGCCCCTTTTCCATCCCCACATTCCCCAGCTCTGACACAGCCCTGGGTAAGAATGAATGCAGGTACTTCCAGGGGTCAGGGCAGACGGGCTCTGTGTTAGACTGACTGAGCCTGCTTTAAGTATGATATGGAATTACATTAAACTGCTGGTCATGGGCCTGGCCGGTGTGGCTCAGTGGTGGAGCATCGACCCAGCACCAAGAAGTTGCCAGTTTGATTCCCGGTCAGGGCACATGCCCAGGTTGTGGGCCTGATCCCCAGTGGGCAGTGTGCAGGAGGCAGCCAATCAGTGTTCTCTCTTATCGATGTTTCTATCTCTCTCTCCCTTTCCCTTTCTCTCTAAAATCAATAAAGAAAAAAATTTTTTAATGAATTAATTAAACAATAAACTGCTGGTCATGGGTCCCCATACCCATATGTGGAATGAAAAGGAAGGCTCAAGGTTGGCATGATGTGGCTGATTTGGGTTCTGTGCGTCATCAAGGACCCGGGTTCCTCCTCTCTTTCTGCTCTGCCATCCTGATAAGAGGCCAGCTTCAGGTGCACCCGGTGGCACCTCTGCAGTTAGTACCCATGCCAGACGCAGGTGGGCAGCGAGAACAGGCTACTCTGGCTTTGGCTCTTTCTTGAGGACTTTCCCCCCACCCCCCACTTCACTGGCCAGAACCTAGTCACTGGGTCCCTGAGTCTAAAGCAGCCTTGGAAATGTGGTGCCCTAGAAAGCTGGGCTCTGCCAGTAGGTAAGAAAGGAAAAGTGGATCTCGGCTAGGAAACCAGAGGGTAGCCAGGTGCTGTGCTGGCTGTGTCTCCAGAGCCTTCCTCTTCCAGGCACTTGGGACAGTGATTCTGTCCCATGGGTGTGCTGCAGACCAGAAAAAAGTGTTTAAGTGCCTGGCACATGGTAGGCATGCAAGGGATGGTGCTGTGTGCCATCCGTCTTGGAAATGTGGAGTGGCCAGAGAGCTGGGCTTCAGATGCTTCATGTGAGATGTGTCCATTCTCAGCAGTCTCCGGGCTGCAGGTCCTCTGTCCCCCAGGAGCTACCCAGAGATTTACTTTAAACTGTGCAATGTGTACGCCCTTGTGGGTTTAAAAACATTTTTTTAATCCACACCCAAGAACATTCTTTTCATTGATGAGAGAGAGAGTTATCAGTGTGAAAGAGAAACATTTATCACACACACTCCAACAGGGGATCAAACTAGCAACCTGGGTATGTGCCCTGATGGGGAGTCGAATCTTTGATCCTCCAGTGCATGGGACAACACTCTAGCCACTGAGCACGCCGGCCAGGGCTGCCGTGTGCTTTTGGCACACAGTGGAACCTCAGTTCTCAAACTTAACTCGTTCCGGAAAGCTGTTTGAAAACTGAAGCATTTTTTTCCCTTGGAAATAATGTAAATTTAATTAATGCCCGGCCAGTGTGGCTCAGTGGTTGAGCATCGACCCGTGCACCCAGAGGTTGCCGGTTCAATTCTCGGTCAGGGCACATGCCCAGGTTGTGGGCCCAATCCTCAGTGGGGGGCATGCAGGAGGCAGCCAATCAATGTTCTCTCTCACCGATGTTTCTGTCTCCCTCTCTCTCCCGTCCACTCTCTTTAAAACCAATAAAGAAAAAAAAAAAAAAAGAATGTAAATTTAATTAATCTGTTCCAGACCTTCAGATGATTCCCTGTTTTTTTTTTTGTTTTTTTTTATCCTCACCCGAGGACATTTTTCGATATTTTGTTTAGATAGAGTGGGAGGGAGAGAGAGAGGGAGAGAAACATCGACGTGAAAGCAACACATCGAGTGGCTGCCACCCGCACGACCCAACCAGGGCCGGGGACAAACTGCAACCAAGGTACATGCCCTTAGCGGGAACCGAACCCGGGTCTCTCCGGACCACAGGCCGACGCTCTAACCGCTGAGCCAAACTGGCCAGGGCTGATTCCCTGTTTTAACCTTTCTTATATATAGTACTTGTTTAATATACTGTTGAATTTATAAACAAAAACTTTAAAGACAAAAAGGACATGAAATGTAAATGAAAATTTAAAAGGAAATAAAATGTACAGTAATAAATGAAAATTTAACAGTAATAATAATGAGCAGCAACAAATATCCACAGCACAATTTCCTGAGGTGTTAGCAGCAGTAAATTGACTCATACTGGAGAAGTCTCCTCTGTCACCTGAGAGACCGTGACTGATCACACAGGTATCAGCATGTAAGTTGTTGGGTTGAGAAGCGAAGTGTTTGAGATGGGAGACGTTCAAAAACTGAGGTTTGACTGTATATTTGGCCAGTTATAACATTAGAAAAATTATTAATCATGTGGCAGAAATAAAGGTTGTTTTGTAAAAAAGGTAATGGTTAACAGTGACATTTCCCTAGCCAACAAGTGAACATGGGATGTAAATTGCAAGCAGGTTCATGTGACTTATAAAAGCTTTTATTCAGCAGAGAGCCATTGTAAAGCTAGTGGCCTTTGGCATCTAGAAGGCCCAAGAATGTGGCCAAGCATATTGGAGTGGGTCAGCCTCTATGCCAGCCATCCACCTCCAGTGACCTAGCTCAGGCACAGGCTAGTGCATGGGCCTCGGCTTCATCCAACTGCTGCTGTTGCTGGAAGACAATTCCCACTGTCTTTCTGTTGTTTTCGGCTGGAAATGTTATTAGCACAAGAGGTCCCAACGTGTGGCTGGGGATCTATTAGTAAATCTTGATATGTTTGTTACCAACCTGCCATATTTTCATCCATTCCTTTTGGGCCAAAGTTTCTGAGATCCCCCAGAGAAAGGGGATTCACAGAGGCAGAGACTCCGCCCTTTTGGCAGGATTTCACAGGCAGATTCAGAAGTCTCTCCTGCTGTGTGAAGGTGTGTACTCTCTTGTCTCTCCCTTTACTCTCTTTCTTCATCTTTCTGTCTCTTCAAGAAAGGCTGAGAGTAGTTCCTAATAAAGGCCGAGAACTCTATCTTAGATTTGTCTTTAACTATGGTCTCTGCTTGAGTCATTATATTAATGAGTACTTTCCCCAATAACTGCTATTTTTCCCCCCTAAGTGGCTTTCAAATGTGTCTTTTCAGTTGCTAACACCTTGTACACCTGGATTCTTCTAAGCCGTCTCCCTGACCTAGTACTTCTCCAGTGAACTTTTTAAAAAACGAGACCATCAGTCACTGTCTTGCTAATCACTGCTTTTCTCCTCCTATCATCTGGTCTCCACCTCTCAGACTTCATGGTTTCTCTCAAGACCAGCCCGCCCACCAGCTCCAGCTGTGTCTGTCTCTACGCACCAGCTGCCATCTAGCTGTGTGGCTTTCTCCCACGCTGGCTTCACTCCTGCTGTTCACCCCACTGGGACTTATTCCCTTAGCCCAGCCACATCCCACCCACGCCAGGCCCACTTCTTCCATAATTCATCCTGTGACCTTCTCCAGCTATTCTTTCCAGACCAGGCTGAATTCTCCCTTTTCTCAATTCTGTTTTTATCAGTATCCTCCAGACAACCATGATGGCTACACAGGGCCTTAGGGGTCACCCAGCCCATCCAGCTCTTCTCACAGGTGAGTCCCTAAGACCCAGAGAGGTGATGTGATCAGTTCCAGACTTTACAGCAAGTTGGGGGGGCAGAGTTGAAGCTAGAAACAGCTCAGTCTGGGCCATGAGGCTTGAAAGACAGAGAAAGACAAATAACTGCCCCCCCTATTTATAAAACTAAGATAATTTCTTATAGTAAAATCATCCATCCACTATTTAGAGGTAATCATTACTACTTGGTCTGTGTGTGTGTGTGTGTGTGTGTGTGTGTGTCATTTTGCTTAGCTTTTAGTTTGGAAAAATTTTAATAAATAAAATAACATAGTGAAAGACCGCACATACCCATCAATTAGCTTCAACATTGGTCACTCTTCTTTTCTTGTTTCATCTGTCTCTGGAATAGTTTTTAAAATAAACATTTAATTTAAGCATGAGATCAAGGATATTTCAAAAATAAGTACTAAACATCAATACTAGGCATCACTCATATAATTTATCACCTATATATACTTAAGTAGGTCTCTAACAGACAAAACAAAAAAGATTGAAAACCACAAAAGAGCCTGGCCAGTGTGGCTCAGTGGATTGAGCACTGTCCCATGGACTGAGAGGTCCCAGTTGGATTCCCTGTCAGGGCACAGGCCTGGGTTGCAGGCTCCATCCTCAGCAGGGGGTGTGGAGGCAGACGATCAATGTTTCTGTCTCTCTCTTCCTCTCTCTCTAAAATATCAAAAACATATTTTTAAATAAGACAAAAGAGAAAGTAAAATATAATCCCCATACTGTTACCACATATACAAAACTAACATATATTTTTAATA